ACTGGATCTGAATAGTACGCTTGGGACTGCCCATCAGTCTTGAGGATGAATAAGCCGTACTAAAGGTCAACTAGTGCCCAAGCACCTACTGGCAAACTCTACCACAACCTCAGTAAAACGAGGATCTCTATCTTGAAGACGCATTCGTCACTGGGGACCCCGTGCAATCTCACTATGTCCCGGAATTATACAAGTCGGCGAGATGATCTACCGAAAATCTCTCACGCGCATAGGAATGAAAGTGCGGCCAACTTAGTCAACCCAGTTCTAACAACCAACCCAAATGGCATCACTTACCCCGCTGAGTTCCTCGGAAGACCATAACAACGAAGTCCCCATAAGTGACATGCTTCCCACTTTCACTCGGCCAATAGGCAAGGGTTGCCAACAAACCCGCTGGCCTCTTGATGCTCGGCCTTCACTTGCTGCGCAAGTAAGGCCACTTCGATACGAAAAATAGGCCACATCTCTTTTCATACCCCGCACCAAAAACTAGTGACGTGACCCAAATCACGATACATCTTGGTGCCTCCCAGATGCACCGCAAGGCGTGAATGGTGAAACTCTCGGAGTACTTCCTCTCGGCAAGACTCCGGCACAAACAAACGGTCTCGGTATCTCACACTCAAGTCGGGATACACCGTCAAACCCTTCTCAGCTTTCCCACTGGAGATTTTCTTTCTGAAGGACTCTACCTCAAGGTCACCTCTCTGTGCCTCTAATACTCGGGTCACAAGTGTAGGCTGCGCAACAATAGAAAACAAGGCCGCAGCCTCAACAGATTCACCTAGTAGTAAATCAAACTCGCCAAGTGCACCCAATATATCCCACTCCCAGATGGCTATACAAGTTACATCACTAATGGATTTCTTACTAAGGGCATCGGCCACAACATTGGCCTTTCCCGGGTGATAGTGCAAGTCAAAATCATAGTCCTCAATGAACTCCATCCACCTCCTCTGCCTCAAGTTCAAGTCTTTCTGTGTAAACAGATATTTCAAACTCTTATGATCCGAGAACACCTGGAATCTCTCACCAAAAAGGTAGTGCCTCCAGATTTTCAAAGCAAAGATCACTGCTGCAGCTCTAGATCATGTGTAGGGTAATTCTTCTCATGTATTTTCAACTGACGTGAGCCATAAGCTACCACTTTCCCCTCTTGCATCAACACACAACCCAAACCCTCTCATGAGGCATCATAATAAACCGTGTAACCCAACCCTCTCTCCGGAATAATCAAAACCAGAGCGGTGGTCAATCTAACCTTCAACTCTTGGAACGA